ATACATCATCCATCGAGGTTTATTACATGATTTATTAAAAAGTAAATAGACTTCAGGACGGTGTTACATCATTGACTGAAATGGCACAAAGGTAAAGATCTGCAAAACCAACTTAATTATGAGCTCCTAATACTTTATACTCCCTCCATCCCGCTAACAATGGGACAAGAGAGAGTGACACGCAAATTAATCAAAAGTGGTTTATGTGGTTGATATTGAATTGATAAAGTAAGAATGATTTAGAGTCACACAAACTTTACCAAATTTGGTATGGGACAATCTTAGTGGGACAGATCGATAAGATAAAATGAGACAATCATAGCAGGACAGAGGTAGTAGTTCCTAAATTTTGTTTTGTTGTAGTTTTTTGAATTTGTGGTGTACCTGAGATGTCTGTGGTTCATGACCTTTTTCCATGATTAGGTTGTATTGGTTGCCGATGTTGTGCTTATTAAGATGTCTGTAGTGTTCTATTATGTTTGTGCATTTTAGAGTAGTCTTTAAAGTATACCTGAGATGTCTGTGTGGTGATAAGGCGTATGTCTTTCTGATAAAAAATGTTTGAGCTTAGGAGTTTTGGGTTGTTATTGTGCACTTCAGACTTGTCTGTATGACATTTGTTGAGATGTATGTATCGTGTGTTCTTATATTTTTGTGAACTTTAGACTTGTTTGTATAACATTTGTTAATATTGATGTCTGTATAGTGTGTTCTTATATATTTGTATAGTGTGTTCTTATATGTTTGTGTATTTTAGGGTTGTATTTATGGTGTACATAAGTTGTCTGTATGGTGTACATGAGTTTTGTGTGTGTGACCAATGTGTGTATGAATATTTTCAGGATGTAACTTCAAACTCCACTGAAAGATTACTTTCCCGCGCAATATTCTGTACGCTCAGCCTTCAATGATGCATTAGAGCTGCTGAGCGAATGCCTCACACTGAAGCAGATGACATTGCTACTGAAAACCCCTGGGGCCATTTAGTTGATTGTCCACACTAACAATTCTCTGGGCAGCTCATTCATTTGTTGTTGTTGCGTCATGTGCGTGACCAACCTAACGATGAGTTGTAGTTTGCGGTGGATGGGAAGCTGATGAAGTTCACGTACGCAGACTTCAAGAGGATTGTAGGTATCAAAGATCAAGAAGAATGGCCAACATATGATCTTGATGAATCACGCTTGGGCGTTGTGGACAAGTACTTCGATGGCTGCGATGATGTGACCTACCAGAAGTTGAAGGCCAAAGTTGTTGAACTAGGAAGTACCCCTCAAGAAGACAATGAATATCTTATGGACTGTGTGAAGTTGGCTGCTCTATTTGTGATCCACTCTTGTCTACTTGCTAGAGTTTTGCCAACCAGAATCCATCTGAATTACACGTGTTTGGTGGATGACTATGAGCTTTTTCAGTCTTGTCTTTGGTCCTTGGAGTCGTACAACGTGACCGTGAAGAGTCTGAAGAAGACGATGCAAGGGCAGCCATTGAAGTTTCAAGAAAGCAAGCAGACAAATCCTAAGTATTGCAATGCCAAGTTCAGCTTTTTTGGCTTCCCCTATGCTTTACGGGTATTGGTGTTATTGTCTGTATAGATGGTTACTTAATAGTTACACTGTCTCTATACATGAATAAATCATTTGTGTGATGTTAACTTATGAGATTCACTGTCTGCCTAAGTAGTTTAATTAACTTAGATTAACCCTAAACCCTAAGTTGTCTGTATGACACCCATGAATGTATGTAGGTTTGGGCGTACGAGGAACTACCTGTCCTTGCTAAAAAATGTGCCAAACGTGTGGTGGGTACCAAAGACATTCCAATGGTGAAGTGGACTGCAAATGGGTTTTTTCATGCTCACGTACTTGAAAAGATTGTGTTTAAAGATATTGTTGAGGTAATTGTTTGGCTTGTTGTGTGTTCTGTAATTTTCTGGGGTACAGACCTTTAAATATTTACTATATTTATGTGGTAGGAGGACGAGGATGACGATGACGTTGAGGAAAGCGGTGAGGATGTTGCACAAGAGGAATTGAGGTTCTTGTGTGCACGTGTAGCGGATCTTGAAAGGAGACTGAAAGCCACTGAAGTTCACCTTGATGGAATGAAAGAGACGGCAGGGAATGAAGCTGGAAATGGAGATGAGGACCATAACAATGTGCAAACACCATAGGTAAATGTCTGCACTTTTGTTATTTTGTCTGTACTTATGTTTGATATTATCTGTATGGAATTTTTCAGTAAATAAGAAATGATTTTGTGAAATTTTTTAAACATATTGTAGGCTGCTGAGTATAGAGATGAAGTTGTTGACGAGAATGATGGAAAAGGACTCGGGCAAGAAGGTAGTGTGGAACCCCACATGGTGAGTGTCTCTTGTATGATGAATTTGTCTGTACTTCTCTTTAAGGTTGTTTGAGAGAAGTACAGACAAATTCATCATACAAGAAACACTTACCATGTGGGGTTCCACACTACCTTCTTGCCTGAGTCCTTTTCCAACATCCTCGTCAACAACTTCACCTCTACACTCAACAGGCTACAATATGTTTAAAAAATTCCACAAAGTCATTTCTCAATTACTGAAAAATTCTATACAGACAATATCAAACATAAGTACAGACAAAATAACAAAAGTGCAGACATTTACCTCTGATGTTTGCACATTGTTATGGTCGTCATCTCCATTTCCAGCTTCATTCCTTCTGTCTCTTTCATTTCAACAAGGTGAACTTCAGTGGCTTTCAGTCTCCTTTCAAGATTCGCTACACGTGCACACAATAACCTCAATTCCTCTTGTGCAACACCCTCATCGCTTTCCTCAACGTCATCGTCATCCTCGTCCTCCTACCACATAAAAATAGTATATAATTAAAGGTCTTTACCCCAGACAATTACAGAACACACAGCAAGCCAAGTAATTACCTCAACAATATCTTTAAACACAATCTTTTCAAGTACGTGAGCATGGAAAAACTCATCTGCAGACCACTTCAGCATTGGAATGTCTTTGGTACCCATCACACGTTTGGCACATTTTTTAGCAAGGACATGTAGTTTCTCGTACGCCTAAACCTACATACATTCATGAGTGTCATACAGACAACTTATGCAGACAGTGAATCTCACAAGTTAACATCACACAGACGATTTATTCATGTATAGAGACAGTGTAACTATTAAGTAAACATCTATACAGACAATAACATCAATACCTGTAAAGCATAGTGGAAGCCAAATAAGATGAACTTGGCATTACGATACTTAGGATTTGTCTGCTTGTTTTCTTGAAACTTCAGTAGCTGCCCTTGCATCATCTTCTTCAGACTCTTCACGGTCACGTTATACGACTCTAAGGACCAGGGACAAGACTGAAAAAGCTCATAGTCATCCACCAAACGCAGGTAATCCGGATGGATTCTTGTTGGCAGATCTCTAGCAAGTAGACAAGAGTGGACCACAAATAGAGCAACCAACTTCACACGGTCCATAAGACCTTCATTGTCTTCTTGAAGGGTACTTCCTAGTTCAGCAACTTTGGCCTTCAACTTCTGATAGGTCACATCATCGCAACCACCGAAGTACTTGTCCACAACGCCCAAGCGTGATTCACCAAGATCATATGTTCGGCATTCTTCTTGATCTTTGATACCTACAATCCTCTTGAAGTCCGCATACGTGAACTTCATCAGCTTCTTGTCCACCGCAAACCACAACTCATCGTCAGGTTGGTCACGCACAAGGCGCAACAGCAACAAATGAATGAGCTGTTCGGAAAATTGTAAGTTTGGAGAATCAACTAAATGGCCCCAAGGGGTTTTCAGTAGCAATGTCATCTGGTTCAGTTTGAGGCATTCGCTCAGCAGCTCCAATGCATCATTGAAGGTTGAGCGTACAGAATATTGCGCGGGAAAGTAATCTTTCAGGGGAATTTGAAGTTCCATCTTGAAAATATTCATACACATCGGTCACACACACACAACTCATGTACACCACACAGACATCTCATGTACACCATAAAGACAACCCTAAAATACACAAACATATAAGAACACATTATACAAATATATAAGAACACACTATACAGACATCTCAACAAATGTCATACAGACAAGTCTGAAGTTCACAAAAATATAAGAACACACGATACCAACATCTCAACAAATGTCATACAGACAAGTCTGAAGTGCACAATAACAACCCAAAAATCCTAAACTCAAACATTATTTATCAGAAAGACACTCACCTTAACACCACACAAACATCTGAGGTACACCATAAAGACAACTCTAAAGTGCACAAACATAGTAGAACACATTATACAGACATCTTAAAAAGCACAAAACCGGCAACCAATACAACCTAATCATGGAAAAAAATCATGAAGCACAGACATCTGAGGTACACCACAAACATAGGACACACAAATTCAAAAAACTACAACAACAAAAAAATTAGGAACTACAAAGTATTAGGAGCTCATAATGAAGTTGGTTTTGCAGATCTTTACCTTTGTGCCATTTTAGTCAATGAAGTGCGCATTGTTTCCTTCGTTCGTTAGCACTGGATGACCGTCGAAGCCTTGCACTGCCCGATTGTGATTAAGTTCAACCTCACCCTTCAAATTCAGTCACCGCCATACGAGTTTAGTGGAGTGAAGCAGACGGCAGCCGGGTGGGTTTTGGGATGAGTTCCGTCGATTCAACTTTAGCGTCGGACGGTTTCATGACTTGCGAATGAAGAACGGAGAGGGTTGTTGGGTTCTTGGGTTTCATAAGTGTCAACTTTGACGGGAGAACGGAGAACAAGATGGAGAAGGATATTCGATTGAGGAAGCGAGTGGGTAGTTGAATCCAGAGTTTTCTCTGTGGAGTGGGTTAGTGCATTGAGGGATGGGGGCTTTTTAAGCTGTGTACACGGGCGTGTAACCCACCATGTACACAGCGCATTTTTGATAATATTGTACTCCTTTTTAGAGAAACTAATTCTACTCCTTTAAAGAATCTTCACAACAACCATTTTATAGAGTTGCTCCAAATAGGGAAAAAACATGTAAGTTGAACCGTGATGGAAAAGTGTTTCTTATCAAAGCTTTGGTGTCAAGGTGTTCAAGGAATAGAATGCTTGATTAAATAAAATAAAATGTTGTAATTACATATAGAGCCCTTCAGGGACTCCCTCTTTCTTCTTAAACATAACTTTGTCCTTTGCTTTCTTGAAATCAGCATGTATCACCTACAAGTTTTGATAATCAAAAATATGATCAACCATAAAATATAATGTGATTGACAACATCTGGCATGAATGATAACACACAATAATAGTTTTTCTATTGTGAGCCAACAGGCACATCTAAAGAGTAATTATTGTGCTTCATTTTAGAGTTTCAAGAAAGGTTTTGATAATTACAAAAAAGGCTTAGCAATCAATATAATTATTTAAAGTTTATACATTTACCAACATTATCAAGAATAATTTTGAATACCTTTGAAGTTTGAACATTAATTCTCATTAATTATTTGGAATCATGTGCCTGTGGGCACACTATACAAGAACCAGTGCACACTCAAACACATATGGAAAGACATTTAGGAAAGAAAAGAAGTATGACTCACTTTCATGCGGCGCTCCCTTAAAGCAAGTAATCCAGCTTCAGTACATATTGCCTTTATATCTGCACCCGAAAATTCATCTTTGGTCATAACGAATTCTTCCAAGTTGACATCATCAACTAATGTCATCCTTGATGTGTGTATCTGTTTAAATGAAGCATCCCAAAAAACCATAAGTAAAAATAAAATGAATCGCTATAACGAATTTCTGACTCAATGTAATCATGCATTGCAGTGATTACCTGGAAAATGCGCCTCCTAGTTTTGATATCAGGAAGAGGAAACTCAATCTTCCGGTCTATTCTTCCTGGGCGAAGCAGGGCAGGATCAAGAGACTCAATTTTGTTTGTAGCTAAAATTACTTTAACATCTCCTCTAGAGTCAAAGCCATCTAGCTGGTTCAGCAGCTCCAACATGGTTCTCTGAATTTCACGTTCACCCCCAGAGTGTGCATCATACCTACACAAGCACTTCATCAAATTTTGGAAGTATTCTTAAATTCCAAAAACCCCCAAAAAAGTAATATTCTTAAGTACCGCTCTTAGAAATCATACAACTTTTTTATGTTTTCAATAAATTAGCTCAGTTTATGACAATGGACTTTTGAAACAGGTGTATTTTTTAGATGGACGGAGAACAAAAAACAGCCCAATTTGTCCCTAATTATATGATACCTTTGCTCTGAGCCAGATTTTTTTAAAAAACAAATAAAAAGCAATGCTTTTTCACAAAGTCTCATACAAATAAGGTCAATTGTGTCAAGTCATTTTAAAAAGCTAAGAGATAGAGACAACAAAGAAAAGTAACAAGTTAGCAGTGGCCAACTTAGGAGAGTAATATTAGCTTAAGACAGAGCAAGAAGAAAAGCAAAAAAAAAAACATAATGGCACAAAGGGTGAGTACCTTTTAGTACCAACTGCATCAATTTCATCTATGAAGACAATGGAAGGTGATAGATCATCAGCAACTCTAAAGAGTTCCCTAACTAGTTTGGGTCCATCACCCAAGTACTTCTGGATCAATTCACTCCCCACAACTCGCAAGAAAGTCGCTGAAGTAGAGTTCGCAACCGCCTGATTAATATGAGCATTTTAGGGCATTCTATATAATCTAGCAGATATCCCCTATTAAAAAATCTTTTACGAAGAATCAAACTTAGAGCCTTTTTTCATTAGCTAGTAAATGAAATGCACTTCAAAGGATGGGCATTCGCAAAGGATTGCTCCCTCTCTTTAATATTAATCCCCTTAGGTTTTTTTCTTCTAAAACCCATTGCAAAATGTCTCAATAGAAAAGAGAAAAAGGACATTTTTATACTAATTTCAACTTTCACCCTTCTTCAAAATCTTAGATAGCAATTAAACTAAGTTCTATTATTCAAGGAAGGGGCATTAGTTAAGGATACTTTAGGTATACACTATCCTTTTGCGGGATTCTTGAATATTCAATGAGTTACTTAATATGTATGCAGAATCCTTAAACAAAACCTGATAAGAAACAAAGGACTATACAATAAGCTTAAATTAGATTCTAGAGTAAGGGTCAAGGCCCATGTATAATGCATGTACCATTTATCTACCACACTAAACGTCAACTGTTTAACATAACCAGCCACATACACCACCAATCAAATTCATTTGTTTTCATTATTATTTCTTTCCTTTAGTTCTCAAACTAAATAATGTTCGACTTGGCCAATAGACGATTTCACATTTTTCCTAATACATACTCCCTCCGTCCCTATATAAAAGTTTCCATTCGTTTTCCACACATTTTAAGAAAGTGGGGTTGGTTGGTACTGTTTGGCATTGTCTGGACACTGTTTGACCCTATTTGGCACTGTTTTGTACTGTTTTGCACTGTTTTGTTTGCCAAAAAAAAGGAAAAGGAGACTTTTATTTAGGGACGGCCCGAAAAGGAAATAGATGCTTTTATTTAGGGACAGAGGGATAATATAATAACTGACATAAAATGTAACACAAATTTGAAAACTAAGAATTTAAAAGGATGGACATTCGCAAAGGATTGCTCCCTTCATTAATTATTAAATGTCGCTTTAAGTTGTTTTCTTTTAAAAACCATTTCAAAATGTCTCGATTTAAAAGAGAAAAAAGGACTTCTTTTTTTTGGAAAAAAGGACTTCTTTATACTACATTCCACCTTCACCCTCCCTTCTTCAAAATCTTAGATACCAATTAAAGTAAGTTCTTTTATTCCAAAAAGGGGCATTAATTAAGGATACTTTAGGTATACACTGTCCTTTTGCAGGACTCTTGAATATTCAATGAGTTACTTAGTTTGTATGCGGAATCCTTAAACGAAACCTGATAAGAAACAAAGGAACTATATGATAAGCTTAATTTAGATTCTAGAGTAAGGGTCAAAGCCCATTTATAATGCATGTACCTTTTTTCTACCACACTAAAAGTCAATTGTTTAACATAACCAGCCACATACACCACCAATCAAATTCATTTGTTTTCATGATTATTTCTTTCCTTTAGTTTTCAATACATGATTTCACATTTTTCCTAATACATTTATAATAACAGACATAAAATGTAACACATATTTGAAACTAAGAATTCGAAATCTTAAGTTCTTAACAGTATGATGAATTTGAATTTCAAGAAAACCTTTGCTAGCAATGTTTTTCCCGTGCCAGGCTCCCCATACAGGATTACTCCTTTGGGAGGTTTGATACCAATGTCTTCATATAACTCAGGGTGTGTCAGTGGAAGCTCAACTGCCTCCTTAATCTCCTGTATCTGTGCATCTAATCCACCAATGTCGGCATAGGATTCCAGAGGAGCCTTTTCGACCTTCATAACAGACACCATAGGATCAACATCATCTTGAAGAAGCCCAACAACTGAAAGAACCTGTGAAGAATAAAAAATCATCTTCAGAAAGCAAAATATGGTGAAAAAATAGTTATCCCCTTGGCATACAATGGAAGCTAACCAAGAATGATCTGAAGCTATAATCTTTAAAAGCTATAACATTGCAAAAGCATGTACCAAAATCAATAATGCTAAACCCAGCTGAATATGATCCCAATTCCTGATCAGCATTCAAACTAAAAATTGAACCTCCGCAAGAACAAAGACTGGAGTTTGGTAGTTAAACTACCTTATTGTGCATCAAAATTGCACATCCAGGCTCGAGCTGATCTTTATCAACGAACGATAAGATAGACACATAGTACTCGGGTCCCACAGAAGAAGAAACAATGGCATGGTTCTCGTCTATAAGCTCCTCTAGGTTACCTACGCTCATTGGTGTTCCACGGAGATCGTCAACCTTCGATCGATCCTCTTCTGTCTTCTCCTCCTGAGGTTTCAACGTTTCCTGATTGGCCACGAATTCTTCTTCCATCAAAAGATAGTCCTTGATGCGCTCGAGCTTGAGGAGCCGGAGCTTGCATTTGCTGTATGGAGTAACAGTTGGAAGCCGAGCCGCCGCCTCAGATCCTTTCTGCTTCCTTTGTTTGCGGCCGACCCGGGCAGGCGGCGCTGCCTGTTCGAACTTCTTCTCCTTCTTATCATCATTTTTTCGATCTCCAGGCTGTTGCCGGTTCAGACCGCCGGGAGTTCCCTGACCCATGATTATTCTTCTTGCACAGAGTTATCAAGAAACGGCGGGGGGTTTGCAGACGGGATCACTGGAATCGACTAGTGACCTGCCCCTCAAGAAAGAAGGAAACTAGGAACGCAGTTAGAAGAAGTAGAACAAAGGATATTTTTAAACAAAATTGTACTCTACACACTCGGGGAAAAAATAGTTTTTCTCTCTTTCTCTCTCTAGGGTTATTCAAACTAGGGGTAGGCGTGGTCCGGTCCGGTCCAATATTTTACCGAATTCATACCCGGACCGTTACTATTGAAATGGTTCGGTTCGATTCGGTCTTAGACCTAAACCCGTTCGGTTCGGTTCCATTTTCAAACGTTCCGGTACCTTGTCATACCAATGTCAAACAATGTCACTTTTTCGATAAATTAAAACTTAGTCATCATCCAAAAATCCACACAATTATCAATTTTCATACTACCTCCGTCCTAAAAAACTTTGTCATTTCAAAAAATTTGAACCAGAATTTTGATTTGTATAGTACTACCTCCGCCCCATAAAATAGTACTCATTTCAATTTGGATCAGAGTTTAAGAAAGTGAGAATAAAGTGGAAATGTATGGTTGCAGTTGAGTAAGAAAGGGGTAAATGAATATTAGTCACACAAAATTTTCCAAAAAAGGAAATGAGAACAATTTTTTGGGAAGGCCCAAAAAGGAAAGTGAGACTTGTTTTATGGGACGGATGGAGTATTATGGAAGTTATAAATTTTATACTTTTAGGAAAGTATTTTTAACAAAGAACATTTTCATATAATTTTTATATTATAAATAATTCTCAATAAAAAATATAATTGGTCAAAGTTTTGAAAATATAAAAGTTTTTTGGGACAAAGGTAGTATTACATAGTTAATGAATTTCTTATAAACTATAATAGTACAAAACATAAATAACTAGCAATTACGAAATGAGTAATCAAAGTAATGGTAATATGATATACATGTATATATACTTATAAAATTATATAAATTAATAAAATTATAATTCGGTTTGGTTCGGTCCGGTACCGGTTCTCATTTTATGAGAACCGGTCATGGCATGGTATGGAATCGGTCCGGTCCGGTTCGGGACAAAATTTTTGAGAACCGTTTGAAATCCCGTTTTCTGGTCCGGTACCATACCGGCCCGGTTCGGACCATGCCGGTTCGGTTATTTTGCCCACCCCTACCTCAAACTAAAGCCTAGTCTTTATCCGCCGCTAGCTGCCCAGGAGGTCTCGGTCGTCGTCGGTGGCTGTGTTGGAGTGCGGGTTTGCTATCGAGCTCTTCGGGGCTTCGCTTTGGTTGGAGTTTTATTTCGGTCGAGGAGGTCAGCGGCGGAAGGAGGAGCGTTGGAGATTTCGGCGTCAAAGTCGGCATCCACGATAGCTTCTTTTGTTGCAGGGGTTTCGTGCTGTGAATGGAGTGTTTTGTATACAAATACAAAAACATGGCGATTGGGACGGAGAAAAAAGAACTGGATTTCAATACGAAAGACGTTTCGGTAGAGAAAAGCAGTCCAGGGCTTGAGGCGGTAGGAGTGCTACTAACTTTTGAGGCGGATGAGCGGCGAGTGCGTTCCCCTCCTGAGCCGCCGCCATGGCCGCTGACGGAAGATGGGAGGCCGCAGGTCCGAGGGACGATTCGAGTTTTCTGGCTGCATCAGAAGTTTTTTATTTTTAGTTTTGTTTGTTGTTTCAGAGATTGTTATTTCTGCTTTGCTGTTTGTTTTTTCTTTTGTATTCCTGTTTGTAAGACGTTGATTTTGGATGTGGGGGATGAGAGGAATATGATGACCGTTTATGGCTTGAAGTTTCCCACTTTTGGATCAGCGAATTATAGTGCTTCTTTGGAGGTGATTAATTCCGAGTCTGGTTCACGGGATAGCAGTTGTCAGATTTCTTTTTGTCATTTGACCCATACTCTGAATTATCTGTTATCAATTTAAGCCGAATTCTTCAAAAAAAAGGATGTTTTTAAAGAACACAACATAAACCAAATCATTAAACCATACTTAACTAGCAGACCAGACTTTAGTAATTATAAAATACATAAGAATCAGACATTTATCAGATTAGACAAGACTAGTTGAGATCAAATTAGACCGGATTAGATTAAAGCAAACCCAAAAAATTCAATCAAATTAAAACATTCTAAGATCATACTGAAAAATCAAGAAAAACTAAATTAAATCGAATCAAACTAAAAAATATAATAAAATCTTAATATATAATAAATTCAAACCAACTAAATCGAACCAAACCAAACTAAAACATAGCATGTTTTAGTATGAAAATTACTTTTCTAATCCAATTCAAATTGAACCAAATCAAAAATCAATAGAAATTTGAATTAATTCCACTTTTGGTTTTACGAGTTTTGTGTCAATTTCACTTTTAGTCCACGTCTTTCACTTTGTCCACTTTTGATATTTGACTAATGCTTTTTAACCGTTTGTGGTCCTTTTCCGGTGATTTTAAGCATCGAAAACAATGCCGGAAGGACCACATATGGACCATATATGTATCAAAAGTGGATAAAATGAAAGATGAGGATTAAATGTGAAATTGACCTAAAATTCGCAGGACCAAAAGTGGAATTTGTTCATAGAAATTTTATCGAAATGGATATTTACACCTCCAGTTAGAAGCGAAAGTGGACCACGGCCGGGTCACAATGTTTAAAAGCTTCAATTTTGTTTAGTGAGTACAACAACTTGGTAGTACATCACTACATCATAGGCTAGTTTGGTAAATATTGCTTTAAGAGTTTAGGGTAAAAAAATATTTATCAACAATTCTTGGTGTACACCCTGGGTTACACCCTCTTTATTTATCATTCGCACAGACAAAAAAGGTACACATACATACACTTTCGATAAAACTGTCGGTGTAAAAAAATTGGTTTGCTGATTGATGTACCTTTTTGCAAATCTATCAGGGTGGTTGCACAAAACAATTGTCGGCGTACACGGACATTAGTTGTATGTGTAGACAAAAAAAAGTGTCTGTACATATACAATTTTGTCTATGTACACAGACATTTGTTTCGGTGCAATCTAACCCTAACTTTTTTAACATTTTTTTGTTTGTGTACACAGACACAGAAAGAAAACCAGTGGCTGTGTACATATATTTTTTGTCTATGACAAAAATTTATAGAATGTTACTAGTTTTTTCGTTTCACCTTTCATTACAAACAATATTTATCATTATTTAGTACCATACAAACAAAAAATCAGGCGGCTCTAATACTTCGGTGAGTTTCCGGCAATTTTTCCGGTGAAAATGGTGATGGAAGATGATGATGAAGATGATGATGGAAGGTGATAGTGAATAAAACGTAAAAAGAAAGAAAAAGAAGAAGGAGGAGGAGGGGGGGGAGAGGAGGAGGAGGAGGAGGAGAAGAAGAAGAAGAAGAAGGGAGTTCGTATGATGCAAAAGTGAGAGAAGGGGAGAGAAGAAAAAAGGGAGGGAGGAAATAAAAAATGGGGGGTTATATAGGGTGTAATCCAGAGTGTAACCCAGGGTGTACGTAAAGAATTATTCAATATTTATATGTGAAGTTTAGGCAAACAATCATTATGTGTATAAAACAAAATAATTATTTAGTTGGTTGTGTAATACTCCCTCCGTCCCATTGTATTTTGCCAACTTTTCCTTTTTTGTTATCCCAAAAAACTGTCACATTCTTATTAAAGCAATTAATTTGTGGTTCTGCTCATTTCTCTTTCATCTGCACAAACCTCTACCACACAACATTTACTTTCCTTATTTCTCACCTACTTTGAACTTGGAAAAGTCCACCGAGATGAGGTAATATATTTTTAAACCTTATACATAAGAGCAATATAAGTTTTACTGTTTATGCTCCATCATAAGGACATGTTTACTTCATGGGTTAGTAAATGGTGCTTATTAAGACTCGCGTTAATAACCGGCGCATAAAATAAGCAGTGTTGTAAGCTCATGTTTACTTCAAATGATTTAAGACACCGTTTAACATTAAAATGTCCAAAATAACCCTATTGATATATACACACACAAACATTCATGAACACAAGTATATGATATAATATGTGGGGTCACCTCGTACGCTTAGTCGCTTACCCACACCCCTAACACCTACCCCGCCATGTACCCCCACCCCTCACCCTACCCCCAATTTCCACACCCTTGACCCCCACCCCTTCCCTACCCCTACCCTTACCACGACCTTACCATCCATACTCCCACCCATACCAACCCCCCACCCTACTTATAGGGGTTGGGTCAAGGTAGGGGCAGGTGATATGGGGTAGGGGTTGGGGTATGGTAATGGGGAGTGGGTGGGGTCAGTGTCACGCCCCAGACCGCATCTCAGCGCGTGTACAACCGCCGTATGACCAAGTGATGTCACTCGCAAGTCAACATGACTTAATCATGCAAGGCGTCCATGAACAAATCCATCCATACTCAGTAGTAAACACACATAACAACATCACAGTTTAGATTAATCGAATAACGAAAATATTCAATAATCAATCGTGGGCCACACATGGCCAAAAAATGGGCTCACAGGCCCAAAACAATGTATATGTCACATTAAATATCCATGAGCATAGTTTGTAGTTTTAAAACAATAAAAGAAGCTACCGAGTGAGTAGCAAGCTAAATCTAGCATAACTAACGTTTCAAGTATAAGACCCAAACATAGGGTGATACATACACATAGAGTACTTTCCCCCAAGTTATGAAATACATATCAGTATATATACATTTGGAAATACATTACCCGTAGGTCATTGTTTATTTTGGAAAATCTTAGTAGCCAATATCCTTGACTTAAATCTCAACCCATCCATATCCTATGAGTGTATAGGACTCCTCCTGGTCCAAATCATCTTATTCATACGAGTTTGAGGACAGTACCGTCGTCCTTGGATTCTCTACCATTTATACATATGAGTTTTGAGGACTCTTTAGCCCCAGGGTTCTCCACCGAAATATATATATACATATATATTCCTAGTTTTAAGGACTCTTTAGTCCTTGGGTCCTCCACCATATGTATTCCGAGTTTTGAGGGCTCTTTAGCCCTTGGGTCCTCCACCGATGTACATATGAGTTTTGAGGACTCTTTACTCCTTGGGTACTCCACCATATGCATATAAGTTTTGATGACTC